ATATATATATGTACTCAACGTCCCAAAATAGGGGTGGACCAATACAGTCCTCCATAGTACAAAAGAAGTCTGAAATGACCCAAAAATTTGTTGTTCTAATCATTTCGTGCTATCTTCTGATTGCCAGCATTTCAATTCTAGCCTAAGCATATCTTTATCATGATTTCATTAAGTATTTCTCATTGAGTCACTAAAACTACCCATGAAGTATACCACAACACCCACTACCCTACTGGCTGACAAATTACTACTGCTGATGTGTTGTTGTTGTTGTTAGAATTATTCTATCTATTACCATTCTACCACTAAATAATTGCTTTCAATGTCATGAATGCTTCAGAAATACTCCATCAGACAGACAGACCGACAAACAGAAAAGGAGACAGAAACAGAAATAAAGATATGTTAAACAGAAGAGAAAGGCAAAGAAAGTTTGACCCGAGAGACTGGACCTCTTCTCTTTTTATCATATCCGGGATCCCAATACTTACCTTATTTCACCCAAAAACCTAGAGGTAGTTCCTTAACTATAGTTGCAGTTATCATTATACATCTCTTGCATGCATTTACATTATGCTGGTTATGTTTTAGGAAAGTCTCTTCCCTTCTCTTTTTTGTGAGGGGGGCGTTTACTTGAAGGTATTCCAAGGAATCGTATATTGAAAACTGAAAATGTTTAACCGAATAGATTTGGATAGACTACAATCTTTGGTAAGGGAAAAACTTGAACATCGGACCACAAAATACATGGTCGTCATGCATTTGGGTTATCATTTGAAATATCCCCATGTTAGATTCTTTATCTGAACTCAGGTTGTATGTTTAGACAATTCCTTATCACTCGATCAACATTCAATAACTAGTATAGAATTTAGAAGCCGCACAGAGAATGCCTACAGAAATAACTTGTGTTCAAGATAACAAGCTTTCTTATGCTCATTACATTGTGTTCGATATCTTTTTCCCCCTTATTTTGCTTCTAATACTAAGCATGAAGGGAATACCCACAACTAACGAGTTAATCCATACCTTGATGATTGGTACATGAAATTAGAGTAAAAGGAGCAAAACAAACTTCAGAGACCTACCTTAAAGACAATGCCATTCACTTTGTAAAGGTTTTGCGTACCATCACTCTCAACTCCATTTAACTGAAAAATAAAGAGAAAAAAGAAAATACCAGACCTGCAGCCATCGTGTTAATAAGAAGCTGCAAAAGATATTACCTGCCCTGTTTTATTAGAGTCCTTTCTTATTAGATAAAACAGTATTTAATTACAATGACCTTGAATGGAGACAACACAATTTCTTTTGACAAGGGAAGTCAACACAATTTAACTATTATGTATGTAGAGGCTAGACTAGAAACAAACAGAACAACTTTGTGATACACTCCAAAATTTTTGCTCAATCAGTACAACGTAGACAATTCTGAATATATTTACTTTGACAGCATGAAGTCGGTGATTGAAAGATACAACAAAACAAAGGAGAAGAATCACCAACTGGCAACTCCACTTCTGAGGTTAGGGTAAGTTTCACTGGTTAATTAGCAGTCAACTAGTCAAAGAAAAATATGCATGCCAAGGAAATGGTTGAATCAGTAGCCACTTCATGTCGTTGAACAAGGAAATGGTTGAGTAGTTGAGACACATGAGTAACAACTTGAGATCAACAACCTGAGATCTCAGGGTCAAAGCTAAGCTATAACACTCGATATAAGCCTATCTGCTCTACAATGGTGAGCTGATTCCGCGACACGTGTACGGTGGGCTGCAGCAGGCTTTTCGGTGGGATAGTCAAGGTGCGAGCAAATTGACCCGAACACCACTATAATAAGAAAAAAAAGATGTTCAAAGTTAACATAATAATTAAATAGTAGAGAATATGGCAATGATTATATTATCAATGAAAGTTACAAGGATCAATAAGAATAATATGGAAAATATCCTTAGTGATTATATCATGTAATAAATACGAAACCTTAGGAACGTGGAACTTCCTTGTCTCATATATAGTTCAAAACTTTTCCACAAGGGGGCCTCTTGATGTTGTGTTATTAGGCGTATTATTAAGCTTCTACGATATTTGTGGAAATCTAAGTACTACTCTTACCTCTTTCTGATATCTAGGAAGCACTATTCTTATTTCCTGCCATCATTTGGGCAGCACTGTGCCTTTTCAGGCTCCACATTTCTTTCCAGAGAACATTTGAGGCACCACCCTGATCTCTTTCAGGCAAACATCCTGATGGCATCGTCTCTTCCGGTCACTTTTCTCTGGCTTTGCCAGCAATTACCCCATTAATTTCTTGTTACCCTTCAACTTTAATTCAAGCTTACATGATTTAATAGAGATTTGTATCACCAAAATCTCTTTCCGCTAAATTAAAACGAGTTTTCTCATGTGCTGCAAGGCGCGTTTCTTTGTTTGTGTTGATAACAGCCTGTGACAAAGAATACGACCTTAGGTGAAGATCACTGTTCCGGCAACAATCAGGAGTTGAACCTGTACTAAAGTTTTGGCTCAACTCCTATCCAAGATACAAGGAGTCTATTAAGTCTAAAAGTGTGTCAAAATGATCTTAGTGAGAATTATTCCTAATGTTCTGCCATTATTAAGAGAATTATTAACTATTATATCATAATTGAAAACCCCAATAATTAGGATTCTTCAGTCCATTAAAAAGAGCCCTCTTATATGTTAACCCAAAAAAGTTCAGTAAGACACGAGAGCTTTTCTAACAAGAGAAGTTCAGTAAGAGTTTCTCTCCTCTTTCCTCTTTTCACAGCATGCATAAATTCTGGTTATTGTTGTTTACACTTTTCCTGACTACCGAGAGATCCCTGGTGGCTAAAGGGTTCGAAACTCGGCGTATGATGGGCCCGCCCCTCTACCCTTCTCCACTTAAATATCAGGCTTTGTCTGAGGCAAGATTCGAACTGTGACGGGTGCCTAATCCACACATCATCGATTGTGCTCTTACCACTAGAACAAAGCCCTGGGGGGCATTGTTTTTTACAGCTCTTCGTGAAAAGGATTTAAAAGATATTAGCACCTATCCGCAAATTTTAGCAAATTAATCAAAATTAGGAGACGGAGAGCGGGATAAAGGGGCAAAAGCAAAAAAACATAAACAAAATGCTGCAAGAAAGAAGCATACAGATTCTCATAGCTACAGTCAGTTGTACCGTTGAAGGCTGGACTGAAGGCTAAAGGTTGAAGACACGGTTTAAACGGAAGGAAGATATTTTAAAAGACAATAGCAATATTTCTCCATAGTGTTTTATAAAAGATATGATAAGCCAAGGGCAATCCAACACATTGACAGAGAACAGGAACTAAGTATTCCATTATTACGATGCGGCATGAAAAGCTACCTATTGTATGAACGTACTGCAACTTCAGCTATTCATGATTTAACTGGAGAGAGGTCACATAAAAGAATAGATCAGGGACTATGACTCCCATTTGTCTAGCAATCAAAGCATAGCTAGGGATAGAACTGTCTTTTTCAAGCTCTTGAGGGTACTGACAGGCCACATGATTAGAATAAAGGCCACATTCTACCTTTTCACTGACGATCACCATTAATAGATCTACTTCAAGGATTTAGCAATCTGTCAAATTCTGTTGTATAGGAAAGTTTGGCAATCTTTTAAATTACTTTTACAGTGTAAAAGGTTCTTTTATTGTGGGAAAACTTCTAGTATGACGGACTTCAAAGATTGCTTATCCCCTCAGGCCCCCTTATAACCAGTGTCCACAAAATCTTCAGAATTTTCATCATCTGAGTCATGCCAACTCAACAAGGAGATTCAATTTGTGGTAGAGGGAGTAATGATTTCCTTACCGTGAAGTCCATTTCTTGATAATGGTCAGCTAGGGCACACTCATCTCCTAACTTGTCAAACTTGAATGTGGACCATTTAGTATACGAGTCAAACCTTTTCTGAAAAAAGAGAAGACGATAACGGTCCTAAACATTCTACCAAGATGACAGTTGGTGTTAATCTGCACCTTATCTTCTTACTTCTACACAGTCCCTCTTGTTGTTATTAAGTAGATAATGACATTCATGGATATCACCAGGTTCTAGGTACCACTTCTCTTTTGTCATGTCTCTGTTCAGAATTTGGAGATCAATCTCTAACCCTTCTTTGCAATTGCAGAAGGGAAAAACATAAGTCGGACGCTATGCTTCATGTCTTCAAGATGCTGCAAAGGAATAAAAATTCCCATTAAAAAATAGTTCATTTTTCACATATCAGTATTACAGGAATTATGCAGTTCAGGCACATAGGTAAACGAAATGTGATGGGAAGTGAAACAGGAGAAACATTGGGCCTTCCTGTGTTCAAAAATCACACACCCTAATACTACTGTGAAACTGAAGCAGTGTAGATTAGTCTACCATTCAGGGATTTTCATCTGACAGAGAGCCATATCATCTCAGGTGCAGCAAGGAACTTTGGATTTGGTATTGGAAGGTAATATCTCGTAAGATTGATCATGGAAGCATAACTTGACTCCTTTTACTAATAAGACTGCATAGGTCAACATAATTTACACTACTAGAAATTACAACTATGGCAACCCTTCCAAAACCGTTGCAATAGACACATTAACCGTCCCTGTAGGGCTATTGGGACGGCTTTCGATGCGTTCCATGATCCAGCGTTACAATAGGCCTATTGGAACGGTTATTTGTAACGGTTTAAAAACCGTCTCCATATAGGGATATTGTAACGGTTATGGAACTGATACCGTTGTTCTATCTATGGGCACGGTTGTCTTTGTTGTTGGGACGGTTTTAAACCGTTGTTGTATATATAATACCAGCAATTTTTTAAGTCTATTGCAACGGTTTTCATGATATATTGCAACGGTTTTTGTAATATATTGGAAATATTATCAGTACCATATTGCAACAGATATTGTCACATATTGCAACGGTTATTATGGGCTGTTGTTTTTATTTACTAGGCCTGTTGGAACGGTTATATTCTCTATTGCAACAATTCACAACTGTAAAATGAGGAATATTTTCCTATTCAATGAAATTTTTTACACCCATAACTTAGTTAAACCACGAAATAAAATTAAAATATCCAACTAACATTATCCATATACTTGATCAACAATTCAAAAGTCAAAATATATGAGTTTGCATACAAAAAGTTCTAAACTAAAATATCCTTAAACATGATAATAGAAAGTCTAACAACGATCAACGACACTCAAGTAAGGTCTTCATCACTGCTTTCATCCGCAACGCTATACCTACAAAAGACAATCAGAAATAATTAAATAAACTTTTAAAGATAACTGAATCACAAAGTAATTAAATGACCAATTCGATAACTCAAATATTTTCAAACTCTCTAAATTTTTAAATTTTTCGACAGAGTTTCCTTTGTAAATACGACTATCCCAAAATTTTCAACCTGCTCAAAACATCATTTGTAAATACGACTATTCCAAAATTTTCAACCTGCTCAAAACATGATACAATTTCCATACAGAACCTAAGATCCATCCACAAATCATAAGATGGGTAGCTGTACTTTAAGCAACATACAACAAACCAGTATCCGCAACAGACAAACCAAATCAAACAACTCACTAGTCTATTATTTTTTAAGCAAAAAAATCTACCTTTACATCTTTGAACATTATTACATCACAAAACAACATCACCTAAAGAGCAAGACGATTTGTATCCTCTTACGTATATATTGCGCGTAGCTACATTAGTAACTATAAGGATTATATTAAGGAAACTACGCACATCAACCTAACAAAAAGGGAACTCAATAATTACGTACTAATGACATGATCTGAAAAATTCAAGCATCACACAAGAATATATAACAAGTTACAGGGCATAAATTAGAAACCGAATCCATTAGATCTTCTGAGTACTCGCATACAATGTAAGTTAAAAGCATAAATTAGAAACACAATCCTTCCAATCTTAAGAGAACACAATCTGCATCAGAAGACAGTATTACTCTGACTTGTTCAAATGCTTCAAATGCTTATATCAAAATGCTGACATATTTAGGTAAAAGCAGCAGATAATTCATATTAATGCATAGCTAGAAAATAAAATTAAACCAAAAACTCCAATCCTCAATACTCCAGCTTCAGACTACATTTGATATGATCTTTTGATCCCACTCTATCACACAACAAACTACATTCGCGCAATTGCCTCAGATGAAACTAAATGAATACCAAAAACTTCACACTAAAACATATAGCAGAAAACTGGTAATGGTCAATTTCAATCACAATGTTAGAAGAAGTAAAATTCAACTCTTCAACAATTCAAAAGTAATATAGGTGGTAATTTCTCTTCTAGGAATTGAAGTGTCTCTAATGTAACCATGAATGCTTTGCTTGTAACAAATATGAAGAAAACCAGCAGATATTTTTAAGGCCTTTCTTCAATGTGACTTTTGAGATTTCTACACAATTCTTGGATGTACTTCTTGACTTATAAGCAATAGCAACTACTTCACTTTGCTTCTCCTATTATATGATAGGTAAATGAAGTTGTCAATATTAATACCTGGAATGAGTTGGCCTTCTTCGTTGTTACCGGTAGATGGACGGCGAATTGGTTGCAAAGTTGTTTGCTGTGCAGAAGAAGTTTCTCCCAGTGAATTATCACCCAGTGCCGCTAGAATAATGTTAGCATCAATATCAATTCCTCAACGTTGAAGTCATGCAAGGACATCTGTAACAACTTCTTGACGGATAGTTGCGTTTTGTTCCTCAATTTTTTCCTCCAATCTTTGTATCTTCTCCTCCATTTTTTGTACATGATTTGTAGTATTTAAAGAGGATTCAAAACATCCTACTTTCCCTCTCAAAGAAGTTCTTGTAACCCCTCGTCCATACAATCTCAGACGTCCCGGATGTTCAGGTCCCATGACAGATGCAAATGCCTCTACGGACTCATTTGACATTTTTGTTTTGTTGTGCTTCAATTTCCTCCATTTCAGCCTAATGCTGCACTGTGGGCCGGGCCTGGCCCGGGACCGGACCGGGACCGCGGTCCAAATGGGCTAAACGGGCCTTGTGGGCCGGTCTCGGTGGGCCGGTCCCAAATGGTGCACAAGGCCCGTGGCGGGCCGGTTCAATTCAAGGAGCCCACGAGCCCGGGACTGCTAAGCCCGGGACCGGCAGGCGGGCTGGGCCGGTTCAACCGGGCCCAACGGCCTAACGGGCTCCAACGGCTATTTTTAAAAATAAAAAAAATTTAAAAAAAAAGACCAACGGTCAGATTTTTAAAATCTAGCCGTTGGCCTTCAAAATTTATCAGTTGGCCACTTTAAAAAATAGCTATTTGGCCCCCAAACTTTATTTTAACCCCAAACTTTATTTAATTACACTTTTTCCCAATTCTCAACTATAAATACTCCCTCATTCTTTCATTTTTACTCATCAATCTCTCTCAAACTATATCTAATTTCTCTTCTATAATTGCTTATTTTATTGTTACAATTTCGTGAAAAATTGTGAAGTTGTTTAATAGAAGTCTTCAAGTCTTCAACGATTTTCAATTTTCAAGAAGTTGTTCGGCAATTCGGTAAACTCGTTCCAACTCTTAAGTTTTAACAATATATTTTTGTGTGTTTTAGTTTGCATAATTGTAATTAATATGGCATTTTCTTTGAAAAAAATATTTGGTGGTAAGGGAAAAGCTAAAATTGGTGAAAGTAGTCGCCAACCTACTACCCTTCCCCCGGCTCCCCGACCCAGACCTGTTACCCGTCCTGCTGCTCCTATTATTCTTGATAGTGATAACCCTTGTTTTCAATTTTCCGATAGTGAATTTTGCCATAATGTTGCACCAGGTGAACAATTAAATGAAGAAGTTATGAATGCTCTTTGTCCTAATCAAACTATCTTAGAAAATGATGAGGAAAATGAGGATGTAGATGAAACCAACCGGATTTAGATGATACACCTACTAGTCCTGTTAATAACCCAACTGATGCCCCGCCCGACCCACCTGTAGAAACCCCTACTTTTAATAGACAACCTTCTAAACGCCTAGAAACATCAATAGTTTGGAATTTTTTTACTCAAGTAAGAGAATAAAATAAGGCTAAGTGTAAAACTTGTGGGAAATTGCTGGCGCATAAATATACTGGAGACCGTAGCGGTACGGGTAGTTTGGCTAGGCACATACAAACACACCCTAGAGATAAAGTTAAATATTTACAAATGAAAGCGCAGCAAGAGGGGACAAGTGTAGATATTGCGGTTAACCCTAGTACAGGTTCAAATCTAGTTCAACCAGGAATTAACACTATGACCGGTGGTATTTTATATTACGATCCTAATAAAGATCGTGAAGAATTAGCAAAGATTGTTACCGTTATGCGCTTACCCTATACTTTTCCTTCTAACCCTAATTTTGTGCATTATATTAGAAAAGTTTTTAATCCTATTTATAAAGGTTGGCCTCGCGCAACAGTTAAGAGCGATATTTATAAATACAAACATGAATATGAACAATATTTGCGGTATTTATTTACTCATATAACTAATCGGATTTCTATTACTACTGATATTGGTAGAAGTAATAATGACTGTGATTATCTAACTGTTACAAGTCATTGGATAGATGAGGAGTGGATAATGCAAAAACGCATTATTGCTTATAGAATAATTAATTCACGTCACACAGGTAAGTTTATTGCTAACACTGTTGCAGATATTTGTAGATATTTTTGCATTAGAGATAAAATAATGGCAATTTCTATGGATAATGCTTCTAGTAACACTAGTGTTATAGGCATACTTACAACAACACTAAATCCTGCATTTAGTAATTGTTTCCATGTGAGATGTATTTGTCACATTTACCATTTAATCGTCGGTGATGGTATGAGAATTTTAAATTTAGAAATTGAAAAGGTTAGAATGGCTCTTAATTGGCTTTTTTATTCAAACCGTAGAAGTAGACTTAGAGAGTATTTTAAAAAATGTGATGAATTTGGCCTTAGAGAAAGAAAGGTTCCTAAACCTTGTCCAACTAGATGGAATTATATGTACAAAAGTTTAGTAGTTGCATATGAATATAGAAACCCAATTAATGCAACGTTTAATGTTCGTGTTGGTGGTGAGAATGATGATGAAATCTTTACAAATCAAGATTGGACGAATGTTAAAATTCTTATAGATTTTTTAGAACATTTTTAAATTGCTACAAATGCATTTTCTGGGCAATATTATCCAACTATTTCAAACTGTTTAGTTTATATTGCAGCACTATGTGATTTGTTTGTTGAATTTTCGGAGGGTGGGGAAATTTATAAACTTGCTATAAATGCAATGAAAGAAAAGTTTAAAAAATATTTTTTCCCTATCCCACCTATTTATGGTGTTGCTGCAATGTTAAATCCTACAATGAAATTAGGAGGTCCTCACTTTTGGTACTCAAATATTTATAAGGCTTTAGATCTTTCAGTTGAGGAATTTTCTACACTTGCAGAGGCAAAAGTCTCAATTAAAATAAATGCTCAAACAATTTATAATGCTTATCAACTTGCGTTAGATCATGCTAGGCCAAATGTTCCAACCCCTACTTCGTCTAGTTCACAATCGTCTAAAAGAGTCGCGGGCCTAAAAACACTTAAATCTTGGACGGAGTTTAGGGGTTCTCAAGGTGATAATTTTGATAAGACTTCACATCTAAACGAGCTTCAAGTTTATTTGTCGCAGGGACTTGAAAAGGAGAATCCAGACGGCACCTTTGATCTTTTGGAATGGTGGAAGGCAAGGGAAAAACATTTTCTGGTTCTTGCAAGGATGGCTCGGGATATTTTATCTATTCAAGCTTCAACAATTGCATCACAGAGCGCTTTCAATCAAGCAAGACTTCAAATAGGTGATTATAGAGCATCTATGAGGGAGAGCTTGGAAAAATCAGTACTATTCAGAGATTGGATCCGCTCGGAAAGAAGAAACTTTGGACTTGCAGAATCACAACCGGAGATAGACGAAGCTTATGAAGAAATGATAGCGGAATTTGCGGAGGATGCTGCTTCGCTCGGAAGCGGTGATGAACAAGCTTCTTTTCCGCCACCACCAACGGAACCTCCTCCGAACCTTGAAGGATTTATGAGATTTGTTAGAGATACAATGTAGATTATGGTGTAACTTGTACTTTGGCATATCTTCTTTAGTTTTTTTTCCTTTTAATGGTGGTATTAGTACCTTGTTGTGCTCATTCCATTGGGGGGAAGAAGACTAAGAAAGATATGCCATTTTTGGTAATAAAAATTATAAAACATACCCTTGGCCTTGAATATCTCTTCGCAATATTTGTTTGTCTTTAACTTGCAATTATTTATAAGGTATAATATATATACATAACATACAATATATACTACAACAAATTATATAATGGAATATATATACATAACATACAATATATACTACAAGAAAATATATAAGGGAATATATATACATAACATACAATATATACTACAAGATACTAGTATACTATACTAGTATACTATATATATTATATTTATATGAAGAAGTAGTACTATATATACTACAAAACAAGATTTTTTAAAATGAGGGCCCCACCCCCAATGACCACCAACGGTCATATTAATTGCACAAATAGCTGGGTTTCTTTTTCAATTTACAAAACTAACCTTCTCTAAAACTATAAATACCCCCCTCCCTCTTCTTCATTTCAATACTCAATACTCATTTCTCAATCTNAAATTATAATTGAAAATATATATATACATAACATACTATATATACTATATACTATATATATATATATATATATATATATATATATATATATATATATATATACTAACGTACTATATATACTACAAAACATTACAAGAAATTATATTTGGAAATATATATACATAACATACTATATATAGTATAGTATACTATATACTATGTATATATATATATAGATATATATACTAACATACTATATATACTACAAAACATTACAAGATTTTTCAAAAGGAAGGCCCCACCCCCAATGACCATTGCCAGCGGTCATATTGCACAAATAGCCTATTTTTTTATNTCTATCTATCTATCTATATATATATAGTATATATAGTATACTATACTATATAAAGTATGTTATGTATATATATTTCCAAATATAATTTTTTGTAATATTTTGTAGTATATATAGTATGTTAGTGTATATATATATATATATATATATATATATATATATATATATATATATATATATATATATATATATATATATATATATTGCACAAATAGCCTATTTTTTTATTTTTTTTCTTTTTCAATTTACAAAACTAACCTTCTCTAAAACTATAAATACCCCCCTCCCTCTTCTTCATTTCAATACTCAATACTCATTTCTCAATCTAAGTTTCTCTCAATCTCCAATTTTCAAGGCTTCAAGTCTCAATCTCAAATTTCAAGTTAAATCATGCCTCGTTCGGAAAGAGTGCGCTTATTTGTTTCGCAACACTTTGAAGTGCTTGAAGAAAATGAAGAAGGCCAAATATTAAAGTGCAAGAACTGTGGAAGAGTCTTAAATTTTCGTTCAGGGTGTACCACAGGCATTTTAAGGAGGCATATAAAGTATTGTCTTGAGCGTATTTATCCGGAAATTCGTCTTTAAGATTTTTCGACAATTTGTGTTATTTTAAAATTATTAGACGTATTTATGCTTAATGTTTTACTTTGTTATTAATTTATTATGCATGATAATTTAGTTTTACTATTGTTTTGTTATTTTACTTTTTCTTCAAGCACTTTAATAATTAGGTTTCTATATTATATATACTACATATAGTTATATAGCCATGTATAAGAGCAATTTATATTAGTATATACATATATGGTTTACAAGAAATTGCCTTAAACAAAAAAAATAGCCCGGAAATAAAAAAAAAGCCCGTTAGGCCCATATGGGCCCGCGAGCCCGGCCCATTTAGCCCAGGACCATGTGGGCTTAGGCCCGTCATGGGCTGGTTCCACCCGTTGAGCCCATGAAGCCCGGGACCGCTAAGCCCAGGCCCGTTTAGCCCGACCCATTTAGCCCATTTAGGCCCGAGCCCGGCCCAGAATATAGCCTTATTTCAGCCTTCAAAGCAAATTCAAAAAAATAGAACAAGTAAATAAAAAGTAAACTAATAAAAAAAATAATTGATTTCGATATAACATTAGTTAAATATAATTCGCACAATTTTTCTAGTTGTATCTTCATCTGAGCACTTGTATGATCGCCCATCTTTTCTTTTTCTTGTAGCTACAAAGACTTCCTTTGCTGATAAAGGGTCCGAAGTTTGCTTATCGTTTTTCTAGTTACATGAAAGTGAGTTAGCATTCCCGGTGATCAACCATGAACTAAACAAGAGCCAAAATTGAGAAATTTTTTGCCATGAAAACTAGTTACACACCAACTTAGAACGAACTAAAGCAAAACTTCTTTTTCCAGCAGTGTGAGGATTCTTTAACTGTTTTCGGTTCTCAATATTAATTTGGGACATTCTCTGCAAGAAGAAAGAAACATCAAACAACAACATACAAGTAGGACTTGAGAATTATAAACTAAACACAATAGAAGCTAAATGGAAGACAATTGAAAGAGGCACCAAGTGAAACAATAAGGTGTACCGAAATCATGCAAAAGCCAGTTCCTATGAATCGAGCAAAAGCTAGATTTAAAGGTGATGTTTCTTCTGCTGTTGAGAGAGGTACACAGGATGTGGCGTTGACTTTACACGTCAATGCTATAGTGGATGCAACTGGTTTCAACAATTTGGTGCAACAAGAACTTGGGACAGCTGGCAACATGCATTACTAAGTGATGCTGCTACAGAATCAGCTATTGCAGTTTCAGCTTTGGAAGTTACTCTTCCTTTGAATGCATCTGGTGATCGTATGACTGAGAAGATGAATGCAGAAGGAACGGGCTTGTAAATTGTTACAGCTGTCGAAGTTCCGGATAGGGTTGATCAGGAACTGAAGGTTGCCAAAGTTTCTGTGGGTGATCGAGTTTCAGATGGATATCTTAAAGTTTCAGATGCTAGTCAAAGGCAGAAAATTGCAATTGTTTCTGGTGTTGAATCAGCAGTAGCAGTAGTAGGGCAGGTTCAAATCGCTGGACAAAAACCAGCTGCTATTGCTACACGTGATGTTCCAGCTTCTACAGTCTTGAAGAGAATCTACAATGCTGTGAAACCAGTCTTACAAGCTGGGCAGGTGCGTGACATTCAAGATAAAGCTGGACAAACTTCTACGGCAGCTCGATATATTACTGATGGGATTAAGGATGATCAGATCATGAGGAAAGCAGCAGCTCTTATAGGTAATGCTGGAATTGCTAAACACCCTGCTGCACTAGTTGATATAATTGAAAAACAAGCAGCTCCTATAGCTACTGCTGTGCAAAAGATAGGTGTGGAAAATTGTGACGACCCAAAGGGGTCATCACCTGTTTTCTTACCCATTGTGTGCTTCCGAGGCCTTGAAAACCTCATTTAGAGTTGCCTCGATTTGCGTGCGCAGTGCGGGCGTAGCCGGAAAGTTTAAATATGAAATTCTATGAAAACTGCTAAATTTTGATGTTAAAATGAATAAATTTGACTTTGGTCAACATTTTGGGTAAACGGACCCGGACCCGTGATTTGACGGTCCCGGAGGGTCCGTAGGAAAATATAGGACTTGGGCGTATGCCCGGAATCGAACTCTGAGGTCCCAAGCCCGAGAAATGAATTTTTTGTAAAATTGTTTTCTGAAATTGTTTAAGGAAATTGGAAATGAAATCTGATTAGAAAGCAATAGTATCGGCCCCGTATTTTGGTTCCGGCGCCCGGTACAGGTCTTATATATGTTTTAAGTCCTTCCTGTGAAATTTGGTTGAAAACGGGCGCCGTTTGTCGTGATTCGGACTTAAATTGAAAATTTTGATGTTTTATGAAGCTTGAAAGAATTCTTGGATTTTGAGGTTTAATTCGACGTTTATGATGTTATTTTGGTGATTTGATTACACGAATATGTTCGTAAGATGTTTTTGAGGTTGTGTGTGTACCTGGATTGGAGTTTTGAGGGCTCGGGTGAGTTTCGAGTAGGTTCCGGGATGCCTTAGACTTAAAAGATCAGATGTTGCCGGTTCAGGAAATATTGCATGTCTCTGAACCCTCTTGCGCTGTCCGTGAGGAATCGCGTGCGGCCGCGGTCGGCTTTGTGCGTCCCGCACGGGGCTATGATCTGCAGGTCTTCAGGGAGGCCTGTGCGGTCGCGGTCCTTTTTGTGCGGTCCGCACAGGGAGTATCAGAAGGGTATAAATACACGGGATTTTCAGTTATTTTTCATTTTTCAAAACCCTAAAAACATAAGAGGCGATTTTTCAACCAACCCTTCTTCTCCAAAACGTTGGTAAGTGATTTCTAACTTATTTTTTTCACTCCTTAACATCTTTTAACATGGTTTCAACTTAAAATCAAAGATTTTCATGGGGGAAATTGGGTGTTTTGGGTAGAACCTAGGTTTTTCAAAAATTGAGGATTTGGACCTCAATTTGAGGTCCGATTTCAAAACAAATTATATATTTGAGTTCGTGGGGGAATGGGTAATCGGGTTTTGGTTCGAACCTCGGGTTTTGACCACGTGGGCCCGGGGGTGATTTTTGACTTTTTGGGTAAAATTTTGGAAAACTCATTTTCATGCATTGGGGTTGATTCATTTAGTGTTTATTGATGTAATTAAGTAATTTGTGATTAGATACGAGCGAATTGGAGGTGGAATTGCGGGATAAAGCTATAATTGAGGCTTGAGTTGTATTCAAGGCATTGAGGTAAGTGTTTGGTCTAACCTTAGCTTGAGGGATTAGGAGTTTAGTCCTATTTGCTATGTGATAATGGTTGAGTACGACGTATAGGCATGGTGACGAGTATCTATACGTTGGTGTCAAGTATGACCGTGAGTCTTATATTGTGATTTTCATGGTTTCGTTGTATTCTTCATGCTTTGGTGATGATTCCTAGTTGTGAAAAGTTTGTGGAAGGAATTGAGACCTTTGAACATTTTGGAGCATTGGCTCGAGTTATATTATGAATTGTGAAAGTATATGAGATGATTGAACCCTTTGGAGCATTGGCTCAAGTGGTAAAGTGAGTTATGAAGTACAAGTGAAAGATAGAGAAAGAGTTATTGAGATGTTCCCTTGCCGGGATTGAATTATTTAATTGTTGTTCCCTTGCCGGGATTTGATTATTTACTTGTTGCTCCCTTGTCGGGATTTAATTGTTAAATCGTTGTTCCCTTGCCGGGATTCCTACATGTTCTTGTTTATTTCCCTTGCCCTTGTTTGTGATTGTTATATGGGTGAGGAAGAGAGTAAAAGCACGAAGGGTGATGCCGTGCACGTTTTCATTATATTATTGCTTGGTGAGGACGAGAGTAAAAGCACGAAGGGTGATGCCGTGCACTTGTCTTTGTTTTCCTGATTCTTGCTGATAATTGAGTTATGTTGTCCTTTACTTTTATTTACTGATTTTCTTGTTGTTATCGGTTCCAGTGCATTAATTGTCTTATTCCACTATTACTGTGATTCTTTATGTTGGCATTTTCCTTTATTGTGTTACTTGTTATTATTAGCTCGAGGTATCCTTGCGCAACATTATGCCTTGAATTTTGCTATAATCTACATTGGTTATGTGACTTATTGCTACTTGACATTTAGCATACTAAATATTAAATTGCCTATTTGCTCCTTAAAGTCCATAATTAATTACTACTTGTCATTACTTATTTTCCTCAGTGAGTCTTAATTATTGTGTACTTGTTGTTTTATGAATTCAATATTATTCGTTGCGTTTGTTGGAGTAAATTTCATTTGGAGAACTTTGATTTAATGAAATGGGAGCGGGTGGTACGCATACCACGAGACTTAATGAAATGGGAGCGGGTGGTACGCTACCACGAAGATTTAAATGAAATGGGCAGCAGGTGGTACGCCTACTACGAGATTTAAATGAAATGGGAGCGGGTGTACGCCTACCCTACCGCCCTCATTTTCCCTGGCTCTCGGAGACTTATGAAATGGGAGCGGGTGGTACGCCTACCACGAGATTTAATGAAATGGGAGCGGGTGGTACGCCTACCACGAGATTTAATGAAATGGGAGCGGGTGGTACGCCTACCACGAGATTTAATTAAATGGGAGCGGGTGGTACGCCTATCACGAGATATAATGAAATGGGATCGGGTTCCACGCCTGCAACAAGATGTGAAAAGAAAGTCAAATCTGCCTTTGTTTTCCTTATTCTTGCTAGTAGTTGGATTTTGGTTCCTATATGGTTCTCTTGATATTCTGATTTACTTGTTAATCCCCGAAGCATGTTTTCCCCCTCCCATCCTTACTTATTTATTCCTGCTTTACTTTCTGCTGTATATTATATAACTGCACAGGTTTATTTGGTGGTCCGGTCCTAGCCTCGTCACTACTTCGCCGAGGTTAGGCTAGGCACTTACCAGCACATGGGGTTGGTTGTGCTGATACTACACTCTGTGCTCTTTTGCACAAATCCAGGTCCCGGCCAGCAGTAGTATCTCGGGAGCCAGCCTTCAGTCCATCGAGACTCCGAGGTAGCCTTGCACGCGTCCGCAGGCCCGGGGTCTCCTCTATCTTATTTTTTATTCTGTTATCTCATGTTTTTGAGACAAACAGTGTTATATTTCCTTCAAACGATTGTATCTAGTACTCTTAGTAGTCCGTGGATGATGTGACACCAGTTCTTGGGTAGAGGCACATGTTGAATTCCGCATTAGTGTTCAGCTTATTTAATTTAAGTCTTCCGCTTTAATTTCATATTCCGCTGTCATTTAAATATTTAACGCTTGTTGCTATGATTGATAAAAAGATTTAAAATAAAGTAGGTAGGAGTTTATGATTTGTGGCTTGCCTTGCTTCTACGAGTAGGCGCCATCACGACCCCCGAGGGTGGGGAAATCTGGGTCGTGACGAAAATGTAGCTGGATAACTGCTTTTTCAAGGCAAGTCTGGACATGTTTGTGATGTTTCAGCCAAAGATAATGTGGTTGCTGGTGTTACTACAGGTCATGTTGCTGGACAAAAATCTAAAGAAATTGGACATCAAAACCTTAAGGGACAGGTGCAGCAGCAATCTCGGATGGATTCCATTTCCCCCCACCCCACTATATGTACGAATAAAATGCGAAAGGGGGAGTAGTAATAAGTCATATAGAATCAATGGATTCATGATAAAGTAAAATCCCTCTATGCAGTGTTTTGGAAAGCGTTAAGCGCAAAAAAGCGACGAGGCCTCGCTTCATAGAAGCGAGAAGCGAAAAGCGAAGCGCGCGCTTTTTTGCTGTGAAGCGCAATTTAACACATAAATAAAAAATAAAAAATATGCATAGATAAATGGCTAAGAACTCATTAAAAATAACATATTAAGCAAATGTTTCAATTCTTGAATCAAGAAGCAAATAAATAGATACTAAAAAAAATAACAATTAGGGCAGAAAACAGTGCACTTCACTGATAAATTGCAGAAAACAGAGCATAAAGCTGCATAAAACAGAGCACTTTTAATAACAGAAGAAGAAGAAGTCGTTTAAGGCAAAAAATGAGCGCTTAAAAAGTGAAAATAATTGAAAGAATAACATAAGAAGAAGAACAGAAGAAGAAGAAGAATAACAGAAGAAGAAGAACAGAAGAAGAAGAAGAAGAAGAAGAAGAAGAAGAAGTTGAAGAAACTTACCGAGATCTGGAGAAGAAGTCGTTGGAGCAGCAGTGGTCGTCGATGGAGTTCGCGGGAGAAGAAGTCCTTGCGTATGTTTCGTTAACAGATGGGTTATTTGCCAAAAAAATTTAAAAAAGCCCTAGCTGATGCCTTATGCTCGCTTAAGCGAGCTTTTTCTCGCTTTTTCTACTGGCTCGCTTCTCGCTTAAGCGAGAAAAGCGCATGCTTTTTGAGTGTGAGTCGCCTTTTTAGCAGAAAAGCGCTAACCCTGCGCCTCGCCTCGCTTCATCGCTTAAAGCGAGAAGCGAGCGCTTTTAATAACACTGCCTCTATGACATATTTTATCACAATTACTATTTTTTGGCCGATCGAGCTGCTACAACTGTGATATCAATTCACGACAACAACATACTACTTCCCCGATTCGAAAAACAAATGGCGTGACAGTTGATAAGTCAGGTGCACACAATATTGCAGCTGATACTGTTGAATTTGGTGCGCAAACTGCTGGTTTATATTCTACACAAGAAGAGCATACATGCCAAAGAATTAACCTAAAGCTGTTGCAATACCAACTCAATAATGATTTGAAAGGAAAATCTCATGACTTGAACTAGCTATACATACGACCAAGCACAGTTTTCCTAAATTCCATGAGCCAACAAAAGATGCCACTTCTTCAAACTCCTTAATTTATTTTCATCAGTTTAACTTAATGTTGTTACTTTGAAAGCTCTTGCTGTATGTTCTCGTTTCAATTATCCCTACTAATACTGATTTAAATGCAATGCTTATATTTTGAAACATCACCCAGATCAATACATCATTTCTAATACCAACTGAGCATGCTCAACAGATCGTGCATTGTCCAAAATCAAACGAGGAAAAAAACAGAAATTCCATTCATTTTGCTGCGAGCGGATCATTGCTACTTGGATCCAATGTTTGCACGATGACATAATTACCTGAGCATAGGTCTTCAAATTCCTTTGAGCCACGGACGAAGTGTACTTCGGAAAACTGGTATAGAACTGCCAGTAGAAGTAAACATCATCTTAATCAGGACAATGAAAACCAGGCAGTATGAACAGCACAAACATGGTCCCCCAGATTCTTTTTCTTTTATTGGTGCGTGTGCGTGTGTGCAGAATGGCGATGAGGACGTGAGGTGGATACCAGTCCATGGCTTTTTTACGACGTCACTTGTTATTAAAAGGTCAAAATGACAATTCTTATATTCAATCCAATATAATGCTTTATTACTAACTTTACACAAGTTATATTCAATTATTCATTACTGTGGTTAACTGGAGAAAAGTTTTTGGGAGAACAAGATTCAATAGTCGGATCTCATATTTTGTCGGACAATAACAATTATTCAGGAACTTCCTGCTTCTTATCAACACATCATCTTACGAATATCAGTAGAAAGAGAATAGACATAACTAATCAAGAGAACAAAGACTTAAGATCAACTAACAAACAAGAATCCAAAGCAGAACCCATTTATATTTTAGGCTCACTCTCTTTATAAAGACTAGTAGTTGTTATCACTCTGATTTGAGTTAAATGCCATGAAAGTGAAAGGTCTTTCATCTATCTGCAGTCTTACTCTGATTTTTATGTGTACCCTGCTGGATAACCACAAAAAGGTAATACTGGATGCCTTACATTTTTGAAATTGCTTCACTAGAAAGAAAGAAAGAAAGAAACAGTGCACGGGCATCATTTCTCGAGTAGTCTGGTGAAGTTTATGGTTCAGTAGCTAACACGAATGACAATCCAACCAAGTTTTACTCCTCGGATGTGCTCTGTTATGAAGATAGTCAGGCAGCTTAGTAGTAAAACCAACAATCTGGCTAGTAAATTAAGTTTATCAAATGTAAGGTTGTCACATTACTCTTGTTCAAATTGAATGTTGTGAATTACAGGAGCTCTTAGACTTCTTTAATAACCTTATAAGATAAAACTTAGGATTCTTGAAGTAAACTTCCATTTCTACACGTTAAAGCTAAGTGGAAAAGTTATCTTGTTGGCTGCTCTGTTGAATGCCTTTTTACAGTGACCAATTCTGTGTTTTCACGGCTAATTAAGTTTAATTGTAAAGAAGAATAGAATGATCCAGATGAGTGTTAGTGAAGGAAGAAACGGAAGCTAGGGAATCTCTGATGAAATAGCAAGAAAGACCAGGGACAACTGAACATTGCAAGCGAAATTACAAGTTTCCCAGACAAGAGAAAAAGGCAAAAAACATCATCAGTTTCCATTGTCATTTGAGATAAATATCATCAAAATCCAAACTTTATAAAAATTTGTAATGTTGGCTCTACTATGCACAAATTATATAGCCTCCCACATAAATGAATCACCATAAAGATAGATCTAAAAGATAAGGCATAAACTGAGCATACCACAACTGCCTTGATTTTTTACTGTAGTAACACCTTTCTCTCTCCAATCCAAAGACGAACGACTATCAACTCCAGCAGAAGACGATCCACACTAATAATCTAAAATTCAAGAACTGTTGGTTACAAACGACCTAAAATTAAAGAAAAAGGAACGATTAAACGAAAAAACCCAAATCAGATAACAAAACTTACATATTCGTTTGGACGGCTTCTCCGATTCGAGCATAAAATTGATTTTGGAATTTGGGGATTTGGGGAAGGTTAGCAATTGTCCTTGAGACGAATCTATAAGGAGTTGAAAGACAATAAAAGTATAAATATCTTAGGTTTCTGGACTTGAATTTTAGGAGTGAAAGAGAGGATTTTGGGGGGAATGAATCTTCAGAGGCAAAAAGAAAGAGATGGTCATTGGATGTATCGAATGAACAGGTGGGTGGGTTTGCTGGGAAAATGTTTTAACTTTATATTTACATTATTAAAATTAATCAAAAATATAAAAGAAATGGGGGTTGATTTGGCGGGTTTGCAAATTTTGGGGGAAATAAGGAGGGAATGAAAAACCGTTCCCATAAAAAAATATTTTTGCAGAACCGTTCCCATAAACATGTCTATTGGCACGGTGCACGGACCGTTGCGGGAAAACCTTCTATCGCAACGTTCTTGCTACAATTAGGTCGAATAATTTAGTCATTTTTGCATTCCCGTTTTCGACCTGCCCATATCCGATCTGACCCGCCCGTTTGTCATCCCTAAACCTAAGCAATAAATATTATGCAAATACAGGAACATAAGAACCAAGGATAAGGCTATAATATTGAAGAACTATAAGCAGATAAACCTTCCGCCTTAGATGTGGTTAGACTCTATATAGTTACCTCTGACCAGAAGCAATCCCTTCTACAAACCAATTGTCATCACATAGCCATGCTATCACTCTACAAAAATGAAGCAAACTGAATATGACCAACAACTAAAGAGCCTAAATTATAATCTGACGGATATCCTCCCTCCCCAACATGCATCTAAACGACACTAACTTATGTATTATTCTTAACAAAAGCCATAGTTGCCTAAATGTCATGAAACCTCAAATAGGTATCCATGGTTCAGTTTTGCCACCTCAAAGAGACCCAATATCTCTGTTCAATCCTACTCTAGATGATTTCTTTCCATATACAGATAAGCTCTTCACTTATTACATATATATACATTTTGCTTACCTTTTGTCAAAAGTGCTAATGCTAAACTTCACGTTATCAAGCACTACCAACTATTATAATATCGGTGGGATGAAATGTAGCCTCTCTCTGCATAATCCCACCATCAACATATACGAGCGGTCGTCTACCATTAGCTTCATTGCAAGTTGGGAAACAAGACAGAGATCATTTGAAGCATGTAAATTCCACATAGATATCAACAAAGTGTTGATCACATACTTGTCTATCCTTGTGCTTTAACTCTATTGTGGAGAAATTACAGTCTTAACTCTTCATGAATAAATGCATGGGATAAGTTCAGCAGAATCCCCAGAAATACAACAACAACAACATACCCAGTATATTCTCACATGTGAGGTCTGGAGAGGGTAGTGAGTACGCAGACCATACACCTACCTAGTGAAGGTAGAGAAGTTCTTTCCAATAGACCCTCGGCTCAGAAAGGTAGAGAGGAGGAAAAGAGGAAGAAGAATAAGAAGCAGAGGGAGAAAAAGAAGAAAAGAAATAAAGAGAGGGGAGAAAGGGGAGAAAAGAATAAGTATTACCAAAATAGTAACCACAGGAGAATACGATAACTAAAACAAACTAAACAACATGATGATGTAATATAAATCTGAGAAATAGGAAAGTACATGCGTGCTACTAGTACTACTGGTAAGAAAGTGGGAAACTCTCAACTACCTATTACCCTTCTACCCTAATCTTCGACCTCCACACCCTCCTATCAAGGGTCATGTCCTCAGTGAACTGAAGTCGCGCTAGGCCTTGCCTGATCACCTCTCCCCAGTACTTCTTAGGTCTGCCTCGACCTTTTGTCAAACCGCCATGGTCAACCTCTCACACCTCTTAACAGGAGCGTCAATGCTTCTTCTCTTAACATGCCCAAACCATCTCAGTCTCGACTCCTCCATCTTGTCCTCCACGGAGACCACACCCACTTTTTCCCGAATAACTTCATTCCTAATCTTATCCCTCCTGGTACACCCACACATCCATCTTTACATCCTCATAAAATACAACATTGAAATACAGGAGATAATAAATCCAACAGTATTACATCATGTTAATGCCAAAATACTAAAGACATATGCAGAATAGTATTCTAATTTTTCTCACCCTAATAAGTCAAATGGCACCTTAACACGGCCCTCTTAGCATTTTACATAACTTTCAACTCCTCTGAATTACCATAAGTCTACCGAATGTCAATTAAAAATAAATAGAAGTTCCAAGGGTGAAGTCCAAAACCGTGAAAACCTAGATCATGTTATAGGCTAGTGTTCAACTCATCTTCAAAAGCAAGGAGGAGAATAAACTCCATGAGGTATCCCAAAAGCGTCAGAATAAAATGATACTAGACCACAAAATCAAGAGTCTTACTTTTGTAAGTTTTAATAAAAATGTAGCTGGAAAATAAAATAACAAGTCTTTAATATTTAAGATTAGATCTTCATCGTAGATATGGATAGACGAAGAGTGAGTACCATTACTTTATGCTAGTCTAGGTTGGACTCAACATAACCAATACTAGCAATAACCTATGCCTGAAAATCGTCAATAACATTAGGCATCACATCTTTTCTTCTTCTTTCACATATTTCACTTTGATAGTAAAAGGTACAAGAGGAGATGGTAAATGAAGGGACAAACTCTTCCTATGAACTAAAAACTATATGCAAAGTGAGGAAAATCAGTCTTGTGCACATTTCTAGGCACGAATTTGAATTAGCTGTCCCAAAGTGAGTACTGGACATCAGTGAACAACAAAAACAAAAAAATTACTTACTCGTACTTTATACTTTCATCAAATCAATAGGTAATAGTATAAATTTTTAAAATGTATTTTATTACTTAATTATCTTTAACTAATAAACTTTGTAAGTAATTGAGTTGAGTTGCAGGCCTGAGAGCGTGGGTAACATGAAATACATAGGAGTGTGAAAATGGGGCAAATTAGGTGCATTTTTAAATGTTAGTTGTCACTTCGCGGGAAGAGAAGTGACGGAAGTTGCTGGTAGGATTGTTCCATGTCCTACATTCTATGTTGCAGACTCTTCACATATTTCACTTTGATAGTAAAAGGTACAAGAGGAGATGGTAAATGAAGGGACAAACTCTTCCTATGAACTAAAAACTATATGCAAAGTGGGGGAAATCAGTCTTGTGCACCTATTAGATGGTGGAGTCCTATTTCATTTATTCAGTAGGAATCTTAGTCAATTAAGCTAGATCCAGTTGTAAAAATTCCACATATGGGGCAAAGCATAAAAGGAAGTTACAAACAAATTATAGCACAATTAGGACCGAAGTTTGAATAACATAGAGTAACTATGCGGCAACTGTAATTACTCATTTACCAAACAGAAGGTTGAATTTGCATCCTCCATGTTGTACCACGCACCAGAGTTTATGGCCATCAATTTCAAGGCTTCTAAAACAACTATAACTTATATTTCTATGGCTGATGGCATAGTGAGGAGCAAAACTTATGAAGGTAGAAAGCAACAAATATAAAAAAGATGCCTTATGGCTATCTCTTTTACTTCAAAACTTTGAATCCCCTTTGAAATGTCATCCAACCCATTGTCTTGAAGAATTCTTCACAAGTTTGTAGGAGTAATATACCACAAAATATCAAGAGGAGTTGTGAATTAACATCACTCAAGCCACTCTACAGCAAATCCATACCAAGGCATTGTATTGATCAGGGCAACCAGTCAATAGTAGGGTCCATGCTAAATGCGTAAGAGATGGATCAAATTGTTAGTGCTATACAAAAGAAGTCATGTAGCTAATCTACAATATGTCTTCCACAAAAATGACAAAAATGAATTCAACCTGGCTTGGTTGCATGGTCAACACCTTGATGTGTCCTAGTCATGTTAAGACTCAAATCCTCTTACATTCCCCACATGTCAACCTTTGTAACAAAAGTAGAAATCTCATCCCCATCCCCCCCCCCCCGACCTAGTTGAAAACAACAACGAAATTTTATGGTAACACCCATTTTCATCAATGTGAGGAGATACAGAAGAAAACGTTCGAAGAGTCATTCTAGAAAGCAGATGATTCACAGACACATCAACAATGTTCTCTTTGTTAGTGTATTCTTTACTCTCTCATGTTATCTACTAATGTTTGAGACTTGAATCCCCTTCAATTCCCAAATGTCGAACTTTGCGCTTGAACCAGAGAACTTCCAAAAGCCTAATCTGAACTAGCGCAAAAAAAATTCAAGTTTTAGTTATAAAAAACAACATTACCATTTCATCAATGTAAGAGAAAGAGGAGAAACCTATCAATGAGGCAATCAAGAAACAAGAATTGACAGCACGTCTACAAAGTCTTTTTTAAGATATAATTGTCTCTAAGCCAAAGTAGATGAATAAGGTTTCATATGCTACGTCCTCTAATCACATCTGATGCAACTATTATTTTGAATTTGCCTAATTTATACCAGATTCTTCTTTTGAAATAAAAGAAATTAACCACAAGAAGTATCTCCACATTTAACACTGAAATCTAAAGAATTCAAGTTCTTCCTTTTCCCGTTTCGTCTTATAAAAGAGAAGTGACATTCATAAGGAGTACCAACCATATCATTTCCAACAACTACAAAGGCATAGTATGATTGAAAATGAAACAACAAACAATGTACTAAGACTGATTCAAGCAGGGTATACAAGGATTCTTAATCAGATCTCCAATCCATGGGATAACCAAAAAAATGATAGTTTTTTTAGCCGAGGGTCTTTCGGAAACAACTCCTCTACCTTCATTAGGTAGGGGTAAGGTCTGCGTACACTTTACCCTCCCTAGACCCCACTTATGAGATTTCAATAGACTTGTTGTTGTTGTTATAGTGAAATAGAAGGGAGTGGAACCATAAGCTAGTGTATTTCATTTTTCCTTCTTTTTTCGTCATTGACAGGACGCAACCTCAAGAAAGTAACCCTAGCTCATTTTGTTTTTCACCCTAATTTGAAAGGGCTCATAAATTAAAGATACATAATCTTGAGGGTATACATGGATCTAATTCTTGGATTGCAAAGAAGGGAACGGCTATACATTAATCTAAATAGAACCCATTACATCAAAGCTTTGTTTACTATTGGTATCGCACCTAGTTTTCAAAGCATGCAGCAATATCCATTAATTTCTCCTATAATAATCCAAAATGCGGAGCAGAGTGTTGACCAGTCAAGAACTCACACATTCAGAAGATGCAAGTAGCGCAAATGAAGATTCTTAGAAGGATATGTGACCATACAAAGAGAGATAAGATTAGGAAAGAAGATATAGGGGGCAAGGTGAGAGTGGCCCCCATGGTGGACAAGATGCGGGAGGCGAGCCTAAGATGGTTCGGGCATGTGAAAAGGGGGAGCACAGATGTTTGGCAATGATACGTCTTAGGAGAGGTAGAGGTAGACCGAGGAAGAACCGGGGAGATGTGATTAGACAGACATGACACATCTTCAGCCCACCGAAGACATAACCCTAGATAGGAGAGCTTGGAGGCCGAGGATTAGAGTAGAAGATTAATAGGTAGTCAAGCAATTTCTCTCTTTGTTATGGGAGAGCAATGGTTCTAGTTTAGAGCACCCTCTCCTCTTTATCAGTTTATTATTATTATTATCCTAGTATTATTATCTTTTTCTTCAATTTTAAAAATCGGGTGTTTTTTTTACTTCGGTAATCTTTACTATTTTGCTGGCAATACTTTTCTTTTCTTCAGTATTTTTATCATAGCTTTTTTACTCTGTATTTTTCAAACATGTTCTGAAAATTCTTTTCTTAAGCCAAGGGTGTATCGAATACAACCTCTCTACCTCACACAAGGTAGGGTAAGGTCTACGTACATCCTACACTCTACAAACTCCACATGTGGGATCACACTGGGCATGTTGTTCTTGTTCTTGATAATCCAAAATGTAAGAAATATGTTTTCTTCTTAGCAGTTTTGGCAAAGGGAAGCGGTAATGATTAGGCAACAACTACAAAACTTGCAAGAGAATCATCGGTAAACTTTCTTGTTCTCTGTCACATATATTTCTTCTTTCTACTAATAACTTGTTCAATGACCAATAGAACAAAAATAAGGATGTTTTTGCGTGTTAAGCAATTCAGGTATTTTCTTAAATTGAGCTCATGTCAGTCCATGGTAGCTTTTGAGACGTTTGAGCAACGCCATTCTCAACTTTTAAACAAGCATATATAAAAGTTATCTTTTGTTTTGGCATAAATGTCGATTCATATTTCATGCCAAATGATTTCTTTCCTCAATTTGGATTTAGAACTTTATTTGACAGTTCTTCATTTTATAATACTAACAAAGTTCAGTATAATAAAAAACTAGTAAAATTAGAACTTCCCACCCACCCTAACCCACCTCCCACCACCCCAACCTAAACAGAAATATATTTAGAGTACTTTCTTTTAATGTTTTAGATAGAATATTTCTTTTTCAGTTCAACAAAATGAATATTTTCTTTTTATGATATGGAAAAAGTATTTTCTTTCATTTCAATAAATTAAGTACTTTCTTTTCATGATGTAGACAAAATATTTTTTCTTTTTCACAAAAATGAGTACTTTCTTTTCCTGTTGTAGAAAAAGTATTTTCTTTAATATTGTAAATTGAGTATTTTCCTTTTCATTTCAACAAAATGAACACTTTCCTTTTGTAGAAAAAGTATTTTCTTTCCTTTCAATAAAATAAAAGCTTTCTTTTCATGATGTAGAAAAATTACTTTTTTTGAGAAGGAAAAAAAAATTTGAGAAGGGATGTAGAAAATGTACTTTATTTTTCACAAAATGAGTACTTTCTTTTTATGTGGTAAAAAAAATATTTTCTTTTTATGAAGTAGAAAAAATATTTTCTTTTATTTCAACAATAATAATATTTCTTTTCATGTTGTAGAAAAAGTATTTTCTTTCATTTCAATAAAATGAGTACTATATTTTATTTTATTGTGATACCTAAAAAATAGCTCAGTACACGTCCTTTATTTTATTGATTAAATTTGATTTGTTGTTTTTTCTATTGTGATAATGTGTTTCTCTTTATTTTCAGATTTATTTCATTTTTGATGATTATTTTTGTCAACAACAATTAGTTAGATAAATCATTTTGATATCATGAAAAGAAAGTACTCATATTATTGAAATGAAATAAAATACTTTTTCTACGTCATGGAAAGAGAATATTCATTTTATTGAAATGAAAGCAAATACTTTATCTACATCATGAAAAAAGGTACTCTAAATAATATTTCATATATTTAGGGTGGGGTCGAGGGTAGGGGTAGTGGGTGAGAGTGGGGTGGTGGTGGGATGGGGTGGTGAGGGTTGGTGGAGATGGGGAAGGTTGAAAAAGAGTTTTGGAAAAAAAATTCCTTCTATTGGTAGGGAAATCATTTTCCTCCAATTGGAGAAAAACAAATTCATAAAGAAAATGTTTTTCAAACTAACCAAACATAGGAAAATTAGAAAATATTTTCCAGAACATGGGTCAAGGTAGAACTCTAAGATTGAGCATTTTCGTGGGTCAAGGTTGGGCATCATCATGGGTCCATTTGGGCTGATGATTTTTGATGGGTTACTTAGGCTAGCCCAAAACAGTCCACTTTCAAAATTGTTCTAGCCCAAACCTATTAAAACTTGGGCGGGTTAGGCGGGTGAAATGGGTTTGGGTTGGTTTGCCACCCCTTAACAATGATCCACTTTCTGATACCCACTATCAAGTTCTCAGTCTAGTAAATGGAATCCCAAAGGCTTCTTTGGAAGCTCAAGAGGTCTATGACAAGGTGATCACCTTACCAAAGTAGTCGAGCAAAAAGTGCTAAAGTTTGTTGGGCTTTAAGATTAAAGTGCATTCGAAGTATGGGCTTTAACGAAGAAAAGCGCTAATGAAACAAATGTAAAGCAAGTAAGTGTAACTACAAAAAAAAATAGTTCTTTGGACAAAAGAATGGAATTAGGCTATATATATGAAGTAAAAGTCGTGTTAAGTTCAGAAACCATTTTAAACTTCTTATTAGATGAAAAACATAGTTTTATGTTTTTAATGGCTAATTTTCTTATAAGTAACTTCTAATTTCTTATTGCTAATCACCAAAAGTTCATTCATAAGGCTTTCTTAACAATTAACATATCACTTTGTCAACTCTATTTATTGTCTAGTGCTATGCTCTTAAAGATGGAGCTCATAGGTGAAGAAGCACATATTATAGCACCTACACTAAAGTGTTGGGTGAATCCCACAACTTGGATTTCACTGAGCTTCAAGACTTAAGTGCGCCTTAAGCGAGACTTTAACAACCCTACACCTGACATTGTTCATACTGATCACTGAAGTATTCAACAAGAAGATGGAGAGTAAGGACAGGGGCTTATTTATAGGGCTTCACAGCTTGTAGGGAAGGGTGTATTATCTACTATATCTTATTATATGCAGATGATATGTTTGAGTTATTAATGAGGCAAATCAGCTCAACTATTGTGGTCTCAGGGAACTCTAAGATTGATGAAGCGAAGAGCATTAAATAGCTAGTGGAGATCCATAGTTGCAGTATGGGTCTCATCATAAGATGACTTATCAATACCACCGCTGGGTGCGACTTTCAAGGATTGTCGAAGGAAAAAACTGATGGTCGAGAGAGTCAAAAAGAGACTAACAGGCTGGTAGAAGAAATACTTCTTGAAAAAGTGAGATAGAGACAGTGATCAAGAGAAATTTGCTTAATCTTCCAACTTACTATGTATCCATATTATCTATACCAGTGCGATTTACAAAGACTGCAATATGAAAGACAATGTTGAGAACCAAAAAGAAACGAAAAGGACGATAGAAGTAATACTTACTTAAAAGGGAGAGAGACACATTGATCAAAGAGTAATTTTTCAAATCTGTCAACTTACTATGTACCAGGGATCATGGAAAAGGTTGAAAAGTATAAACGAATCTTTTATGGGACACGATAGGGAGGTAGAATGTTCATAGAACTTAACTAGGGAAGTTGATTTGGGGGTTCGCATGGAAATCAACCATTGTGGAGAGCAATCAGAGTTAAAAAGTATGTAGATCAAGTGGAATAATTAGGACCAATCGGATTATCCATGCTATATGGAATAACTCTATGGAGGATATAGTGAAAATGTGGAGAGATTCTATGGAAGTGTCAAATTTAGAAGGGAGGTAATGAAACCAGAATCAAT